ATCTACGACTACCGACTACGACTACGACCTACGACTACGACACCGCACTACCACTACCACTACGACTACGACTACGACTGACGACCTACCGACTACGACCTACGACTACACTACGACTAAACGACTACGACTACGACTTACGACTAACGAACTGACGTACTACGACCTACGACCGACGAACTACGACAACGACTTACGACTACGACTGACGACTTACGACTACGACGACGACTACGAACTACACTACGACCTCACGACTACGACTACGACTACGACTACGACTTACGACTACCGACTACGACTACGACTGACGACTACGACTACGACTACCCGACTACGACTAACGACTCGACTACGACTACGACTACGGACTACGACCGACTACGACTACGAACTACACTACGATCTACCGATACGGACTACGACTACGACTACGAACTACACGAACTACGACTACGACCTACAGTACTACCGACTACGACTACGACTACGACTACGACCTACGACTACGACTACGAGCTGTACGACTCACCGACACACTACGACTACCGACTACGACTACACTACGACTACGTACCTACGACTACGACTACCGACTACCGACTACGACTACGACTACGACTACAACGACTACCGACTACCGATGACGACTACGACTACGACTACGACTACGACTACGACTTACGGACTACGGACTACGATTACGACCTCACACACTACGACTACACTACGAACACGACGACGACTACGAACTACGACTACGACTACGACTACGACTACGACTACGACTACGACTACACGACTACGACCTACGACTACGACTACGACTACGACACGACTACGACTACGACTACGACTTACACACTACGACTACGACTACGACGACTACGACTACGGACTATCGAACTACCGACTACGACTACTGACATACCGACATACACCTACGACTACGACTACGACCTACGACTTACGACTACGATCTAACGACTACGACTACGACTACGACTACGACTACGACTACCGACTACGACTACACCGACTACGATACCGACTACGACTACACTACGACCTACGACACGACTACGACTACGACTACGGACTACGACTACGACTACGACTACACTAAACGACTACGACTATACGACTACGACCACGACTACGACTACGACCACGACTATCGACTACACTACGGACTACCACTACGACTACTGGACTACGCACTACGAACTTCGACTACGAACTTCGACCCTACACTCGACTTCGACTGTACGACTACGACTTCGACTTCGACTTCGACTTCGACTTCGACTTCGACTTCGACTTCGACTTCGACCTTTCGACTTCGACTTCGACTTCGACTTCGACTTCGACTTCGACTTCGACTTCGACTTCGACTTCGACTTCGACTCGACTTCGACTTCGATCTTCGACTTTCGACTTCGGACTTCGACTTGCGACTTCGACTTCGACTTCGACTTCGACTTCGATCTTCGACTTCGGACCTCGACTTCGACTCTCGACTTCGAGCTTCGAACTTCGACTTCGACTTTCGACTTCGACTTCGACTTCGACTTCGACTTCGACTTCGACTTCGACTCGACCTCGACTCACTTCCGACTTCGACTTCGACTTCCGACTTCGACTTCGACTTCGCAACTTCACTTCGACTTCGACTTCGACTCGACTTCGAACATCGACTTCGACTTCGACTACGACATACGACTTACACTACACTCGACTTTACGACTTCGACTTCGACTTCGACTTCCGACTTCGACTACGACTTCGACTACGACTACGACTACGACTACGACTTCGACTTCACTACGACTAACGACTACGACCTACACTCGATACGACACGACTACGACTACGACTACGACTACGACTACGACTACACTACGACTACGACACGACTACGACCTACGACTACGACTACGACTACGACTACGACTACGACTACACTACGACTACGACTACGACTACGACTACGACTCACTACGAACTACGACTACGACTAGACTACGACTTACGCACTACGACTACGACTACGGACTACGACTTCACACGACTAGTCGACGACGACGTACGACTACGACTTCGACTTCGACTTCGACTTCGACTACGGACTAACGACTGACGACTACGACTACGACTACGACTACGACTTCGGACTTCGACTTCGATACCGACTACGACTTTCGACTTCGACGTTCGACTTCGACTTCGACTTCGACTTCGACTTCGACTTCCGACTTCGACTTCGACTTTCGACTTCGAACTTCGACTTCGACTTCGACTCAGACTTCGACTACGGACTTACGATACGACTACTTCGACTCGACTTCACTACGACTACGACTTCGACTTCGACGTACGACTTCGACTTCACTTCGACTTACGACTACACTACACTACGACTACGACTACGACTACACTTTCGACTTCGACGTTCGACTTCGACTTCGACTTCGACTTCGATTCGAACTTCACTTCGACTTACGACTTCGACTTCGACTTCGCTTCGACACGACTACACTACGACTTTTCGACTTCGACTCTCGACTTCGACTTCGACTTCCGCACTTCGACTTCTAGACTTCGACTACGACTACGACTTCGACTACGACTACGACTACGACTACGACTACGACTACGACTTCGGCTTCGACTGCGACTGCGACTTCGACTTCGACTTCGACTTCGACTGCGATGGAATAACAATTTTCATTTCATTTTTGAATTAATTATTTTTTCTCATGGATTTTTTGAGTAATAACTGATTTGCACGGCAAAAAACACTTTAAGTATTTCTATATGAAAAGGAGAAGTAGCCGCGCAAAAGCTGAACGGTTTCTCATTAACACAGTGACTATTGGAAGAAATGGTCTACGGTAAGAATGTATATTATTAAGATTATTTCATACATTTCTATATATCTTTTGTAAAATTCTCAAATGAAAAGAGACGAAAATATTTTTATTTTCTAATATTCTTAGTATGTGTTAATTTTTTCGCCATTGCATTCTGTACAGACCAATCTTTTCCTACGGGAATAATATTGAATTCATATATGAAACAGGATAATGTAGGTTTGTACTAATTTAATATTCAGGTCTTTCAACAGTTTTATGGAAACATTTTCCATCATTACGCTAAAAAGCAAGGTGTTAAAAATTCATAGAGCAAAAAGGCTTAACATGTAAAAAATTACAAATCGTTATATATTTAAAACACTGAACATTAATTATACAAAAGCAAAATAAAAGAACAAAAATGAATACTCAATTAAAGACTTACCAATAAACAAAACGAATCACGAACAATCCGTACATCTTATATCTAGGGTAGGTGCAAAAACATCAATGAATTTCATACAGTCATGTTATAGCGGTTGGCACTGGCCATGTGATAGACTAGCAGCAACGAGATAGAAATCTCAAAAAGTAGTTTTATTGATTTGGAAATTTTGACAAGAAATAGTCATTAGAGCATAAGTAGGTACTACAGGTCTAATGGGTAGATTTTGTTCTAGCAATCCGTATGCGAACACTCAATTAGGTGTAGTTGAATATATTTGGTGACGCTCTTTGGATATGTAAGGAGAAATTTTCCTGTTTTTTAGTATATTTTGTATGAATTTAAGGTAGCAATAAGCAGACGACTTATTTTTAACTAGAAGGTTTGCATCTTGCGAAAATTATCTTATACTACTTCTTGAAAACGGTTATACTCATGGGTAAACAAATTAAATGTTGATAGAGAGTTCATATCTGAGATTGTTATCTTTGGATGTGCCTGCTATATACCCGTCTATCCGGCGTGATTTTATTCTAATTGCAATTGAAGTGTTAACCCAAAATTCTAGATTGTTTAGTATTCCACCAATTACTCATAGCTGTCAGTGGGGAAGCTGAAGGGTAATCTGGGAGCAGTAGAATACCCAAATAATGTTTCAACAAAATCTGTTACGTGTGCCTTTTTTCAACATTCTTTCACCGAAGCGTTAAACAAAATTAAATGTTTTAGGCTCCTTTTCCGCCGCTTACGCGCGAGGCAATTAGCTGGTTCAGCCGCGCATGCGCAGAAGGGGCCGCTGGCTGACTCCCTCTCGCTCTAGGAGAGCCTAGGCTCCCAGCGTGCGCAGACCACGCCCTGGCCCCTAAAGCACATTCGCCTTAACGGTGTGGCAAATAGTGAGTCTGTGTGATTTGCGTTGTTCGTGGTTTCTCTTTGAAGCAAGTAATGAAGAAGATTTAGCGTTACAGAGAATGTCCCTCCAACTCTGGCCCACCCCCATAACTTCTCGATATCGAAATGTACTTTTCCCTGAATAATGCGGAATCACGAGCTAATTAATATCCCGTAGGGATAGAAATGATAGATATACGGAGCAATATGCTGTGTTGGATACAAAGAGATTATTGAAAACTGCATGAAAGCAGACGTGGCCTTGAATGAACTTGCAGGATCAGAATTACGTATTTGAAAGACAAAAAAGTTTATTTTCGAATTTTTGACAGAGAAGTGACTTGGATGGAATATCGGTTTCAAGATTTTGAAAACTTTAATGTCCTGTTCTTCAGAAATTTTTTTTCTTCAATAAAATAGTATTCATTCTTTCACAGAGAGGAGCTTCGAAATGAACTGACAAATGTATTCATTGATCATGAAAAATGCACGCCTGCAGATTTGTTGCTGCAGTATTTGTTGTGCAAATTAAATTAATAAAGCACAAAATTTCAAGAGTCGTTTTGGTTGATACAACTCAGTCTAACTTTCCCTGTATCTACAGCATTTTGTGCAAGGAATATGACTACATTAAAGAGAGTGAAGACATTCCTGAGAAATATCACGATCAGTAATTTCAGTACACTGACTATAGAGAAGTGTCTACTAAATTAACTTTGCAGAAACGACAACTTTAAAAAACCATTTATGGATGTTTAGCTGAACGACAAAACAGATCATTTTTTTTTAATTGGAAGATTAGATTTTCTGAATTCCTAACAACATGACTAGCTTCGCCACTAGTAATGTTAGAGGTTGAAATATACAATGAATATTTGACATTAGATATTGTTATTACGAAGTAAATAGTCATTGTTTTTAATGTATACATTTTTATTTAGGTAGCGTCATATATTTGAATGAGAAAGGCATGGACAACCAGTAGAGATACGTTTCAGTGCCGGGGTAGGCGTAGAGACGGAAAAGGTGACTGTCGGCAGACAGGTTAAAGCCAATGCAAAATTGGCTTTAAAAATATATAAGGCAAGTGAAAACTGAGGTAATATTTTTCATCAAGACCTTAATTTTGGCAGAAGCTATTCAGACATGTTAGCGAGCATTTGTAGAAGTTATTTGTTTCGTAGGAGACACTGGTGTAGAATATTTAAATACTGGAGGTATAATTTTTAGGATTTCAAATAGTTAATGTTGCAAGAACATTTACTCAACGCGATTGTGAGGAAAGGAGGAAATAGAAATGTCCATTCGAGATATTAGGGAAGTGATTTAGTGTAAATATTTTGGGTTATATTATTATTAGGTTTAGGACATCAATTATATTTATTTAAAAAATTTGTCACTATTTCGAGAAGTCCTTATTCGGATTATACTCTTAACATGACACAACCGAAGATTTGCGGTGAAATTCAAGACTTCGTGGATGTCACTTCATTGCAGCTTGAACATCTTTACGAATCATTAGCGTCGCAGAAATAAATTGCATAAGTCTTTGCAAAGATAAGATCAAATAAACATTTAAATACTCTGGTAGGTCAAATAAAATAATATTTCAATTAACTAGCATGCCACTACAAGCTATTGCCAAAGAAAAATTGTAAAGTAAAAGAATAAACTTTGATTAAATTAATGTTGAATCAATAAACGATGTAAATATGTTATCGCAAAAAGAGAGCTGGTTCATTTAATAGTAATACGCCGCAAACCATTTTATTTTTAATAAAATAAGTTTTCAGAGAAGACTCAGTTCATTTGGGTTGGGACGTCGACCCATGTAAGCATTACACGACCATATAAGAATTTTGGAGTAGGGAGTTCATAAAAATTATAATACAAATGAAATCGTTCAGTGTTTGAATACATTTTGAAACATAAGTAAGAAATATCTTCAGAAAAGGGCTTGCTCAGCGTCCTCATTTTACATTGAATGCCGATATAAAAATAGGTGTGATTGAAAACATTTCAAAATGCATTGCCGAACGTGGGGCATATTGTCTGCATAAATAAAAAAAAAATATTAAAACATATCACTTTGGAAGAAGAACTGCTATTAGTCGAATTGTGCTGCTACAAACATATGCAGTCACGTCGCTGCAGATCAGTGCTGTTGCGTTTATTCCTTGGACTGATGTTGGCGCCATGTTCTAAGAGGAGCTCTGTGGATTGGTCATCTACCTCGCTTGCTGCCTTCATTAGCGGAGTTTTGCCCTTTTTGTCTACTGCATTAGGATCGGCTTTGTTTTCGAGGAGGAGCTTCGTAATCTGGCGATGACCGCTTCTAGTGGCGTAATGTAGAGCTGTCCAGTGGTTCTCGTCTCTTTGACTGACGTCGGCGCCATGTTCTAACAGCAGCTCTGTTGATTGGGCATCACCATCTCTTGCTGCGACCATTAGCGGAGTTTTTCTCCATTTGTCTACTGCATTGGGGTCAGCTTTGTTTTCGAGAAGGAGCTTCATAATCTGGTGATGACCGCTTCTAGTGGCATAATGGAGCGCAGTCCAGAGGTTCTCGTCTCTTTGACTGACGTCGGCGCCGTGTTCTAAGAGCAGCTCCGTGGATTGCGCATCACCCTCCCATACTGCTATCATTAGCGGAATTTTGCCCCTTTTGCTTTCTGCATTCGCACCAGCTTTGCTTTCCAGGAGAATCTTCGTAATATGGTAATGACGCCACTTACAAGCGTAATGGAGCGCTGTCCAGTGGTTCTCGTCTCTTCGACTGACGTCGGCGCCGTGTTCTAAGAGCAGCTCCGTGAATGGAGCATCGCCCGCCCTTGCTGCCTTCATTAGCGGAGTTTCGCCCTCTTCGTCTACTGCATTAGGATCAGCTTTCTTTTCGAGGAGGAGCTTAGTTATCTCAATTTGTCGACCACTGAATGCAAAATGAATGGGTTGTCTGTTAAAAACGTCTTTTTTTGTGACATCTGCACCATACTTTAATAAAATCTGTACAGTTTTTGTGTGTCTATTTTCTGCTGCTATCATTATTGGTGTTTTCCTTCTTTCGAATCGAGCGTTTGTATAACTTCGTTTTTTCTTTAAGATCATCTTCATTATCTGCAAAAAAATGACAAAATATAAATTTTATAAAGACGATTTGTATTTGACATTTTATTCTGAATTAAGTATGTTAAATTTACCTCCTATTAAAATGATTATATTTCGTTTTTATAACGTGGCGGGTCAGGGCATGTCATCGCGATGGAATATCTCACGGCATTTCACGTTTTTCTCGGTCGTGTCGCTAGGTGTCGCATGATCGCGACCGCATCAAGTAGGGCCTCTAGTGGTGCATCCGAGAAAGATGCAAAATGCCGTGAGATATTCCATCTTAAAGACAGGCCCTGACGCGCCATATTATAAAAACTGAAGTATAGTTTGGATGTATTATGTGTTCTGTTACGACGTTCGAAAGTTCTATTCTTATTACAATTAGAAATTAATAGAAAATTGCTAATTTGCATTGCGACATTATTCTTGTATAGTTTTCCGTTTAATACAAGTAATTGCATTTTTACATAAAAATGCCTGAAAATCATGTAAATTCCAAACAGTTTTGCATAATAAAATTGAGTTGGTACTGGTCAGTGATGATTATGTACTCGACGACCATGTTCAAAAACTACCTATACTGGAAATGACAATATTTGAGAACTAGGGCTAAAAATTGGCAAAATGCCTTTATACGTATGTACTTGTATATACGGAGTTAAAAATTGTGTATAGAGAAAGTTAATGTGGGATGCTTGGTGAAATTTCGACATTTTAAAGCAAGAGGTCTCCTGTACCAAAGAAGGTCGTTTTTTCAAAACGTCCGTCCGGTTTCCCGTCATGAGAACAACACTAATGCCTAGACTATTCGTAGGAATTTGCCAAAATTAATATTTTTCGTTCTCTAAGGATTGCCTGGAGACCTTGGGAATTTGAAAATAATTCTTTGAATTTTGAGGGTACTATTAGTCAGACTCTAGCCTATTATAAAAATGATCTAAAAATATGGTTCAGTTTATAAAAATGCTTACAAGAATAGAGTGAAGTAACTCATTTAGATAGCATAGGTACAATTACCACTGTGCACTTCGGAATTTTTGAAAATTGCAAACATTTGAAAATGTCAATGACATAATGTTAATATTAGACGTTTTCCCGTAGTTTTGAGTGAAACAAGGAAAGATTTAGAAATCCTAAAAACAACTTCAAATTGTTTCCTTAAATGTTTGTACGAATAGTGCTGAATGCTCTGAATGAAATTATATAACCTAAATTCGATGTTTTTTATTTTTCAAAAATAATATAAATGCATTTTATAAATATCTCTCATGTTAATACTTATTTTACGATATATTGAATTCAATGCAACATTTGTGAGTCGCAGTGCTTCAATGGACTTCGTATCAATGTTTTCGGAACTCAAAACTTTTCTGTGAAAGTGTGATCAATAGGGAGAGGATTTTTATGGCCTAAAAATCAAGAAATAAGCTTGTAAATACATTCATTTACGAGCTAAACTTTCTGAAATATGCACTTTAATATGAAATAAAATTAACAATATTTCATTTTCTCTATAAACCTTTCGTGATAAAATTCAGAAGAAGCATGCTTGGAATAAGAGACGCATTTCTGTGCAAATATAATATAATCCACCTTATTTCGCGGGAGAAATAATTCAAGTTAATATTCCCATAAGTGAAGAATATTGTATGTTGTGTTGAATTTCTTCAGCCTGGTTTAAAACTTGTTATACCAAGAAATATCCTATATTTGCACAAGTATTTTATCTTCTGTAGAAAAGACGAACCACACAAACTGTGACTTCTGAAAGCTCTTTACAATTAATGAACGTCCATGAATAAATATATTCAATGGAAAAATGAAAAGTTTTATATATGTCTTTATTTCAACAAAATATGCGCCTTTAATTACACGAATATGTCCCAACAGGAGAAAGCGACCAAATAAGCACTATAAAAATAATCTACAAAGCATCCAATTCTAACCAAATGTTAAGAAATTTTTCATAGCTGTGCCCTATCGCAATCATAGAAATCCTGTCCCTAGTGATAAAATTGCACATGTTCAGAAACCCTGATGTGTCATTTTCTCACAAACTGTTAAAAACTTTTGAATGCATATTTGCAACTTTTGAATGCATATAGAATATATTTTTACTTTCTCGCCTTAGAAATACTTCGTAAGAAGAAAAAGTTATGTAATCGTGTGTCAGAAAACGGCAAATTTTCGGCATAAAAACTCTTACTGTCGAGCCCTGGTAACGAAAAAGTGGATAAATCCTGCTTGTATGTATACATAACCTGTCATATCATACATAACCTAACATATCACATCCTGTATGTTGTTTATAAAATTTGAACCAATTACATTGAAAATAATCTTAAACCCGTGGTTTATAAAGAATTTACCTTTTTCGTCTTTCACACCGATTGAATATGAAGAAATGCCAGGTCTTCGCTAGTTCTACATAATAGCGTTTCCCTACAATTCTACGTTCTCAGACTGTTTTATTTTCGGATGTTGCTCCAGAAAATGTGACTTTTCTTACTGCTGGGTATCCCTGCTCCGCCGCTTTGAACACAAGATCTCGGACGTCGACGTGAGTGACGAAGTGGTCGGGGTCGGCGCCGGCCTGCAGCAGTCGCTCCGCCGCCTCGTGGTGGCCGCAGGCACTGGCGTAGCGCAGCGCCGTCCAGCCTAGCAGCGCGTCCCCGCGCCCAGGGTCGCAGCCCTTGGCGAGCAGCGAGCCCACGGCGTCGGCGCGGCCTAGCGACGCCGCCTGCACCAGCGCCGTGCGGCCGAAGCGGTCGCTCTCGTCGGCGTCGCCTCCAGCCTCCAGCGCGCCCTCGCTGCCCTCCAGCACGGCCCGGTGCAGCGGAAGCCCGTCCGACAGCATGTGCTCCAGGATGTGCCTCACTCCGACGCCCACATCGCGGTTCAGGAGGCTACGCCAGATCTCCTTCACCGCCTCGGGTGCTTCCTCTTGGTTATCCAACAGCCAACGCGCCGCAAAGTATTCGATGAAGGTGTAATGCAGGAAATGCGGCGTTTCATCTTCACCTTCTCCTAACCATAGGATTCCGGTTTTCTCTTTGATCAGATTTTGTCTGTTTTTGTGTACGTAGTCTCTGAACGGTGAGGGATCGACTGTGCTGAATGTGCCATCGGAGACCTGCGAAGAAACGTCGGTTTTATATGGTATATCATTTAAACACCGGTGCAAACTAGACTTCAATCCGATAATTAGTTTGGGAATTACGCGGAAAACAAATTTGAGCTGATATTAAGAAATTTGGCGAAAAAATAAGGAAAAAAGTAAATTTCATCGCGTCCATTTAAATCACATATGTGAGTAGAACTCCCGACGAAAAATTCATTGGTGGAAACTAGACTTCAATCCGAGTATTAGTTTCGGAAATACGCGTACAAACAATTAAGCTGATATTAGGAAATTTCGTTAAAAAATAAGAAAAAAGTAAACTTCATCACTCACTTCTGAAATCACGTGTGCGAGTAGAACTCGAGACGAGGAATTCATTAGCGCAAACTAGACCACTCACAAAATTAGTTTCGGAAATACGCGTAAATTTAAATTTGAGCTGATAATAAGAAATATGGTGAAAATATAGGATAAAAGATAAATTCATCGCTTCCTTCTGAAATCACATGTGTCAATAGAATTCTAGACGAGAATTTCATTGGTGCAAACTAGACCTCAATCCGAATACTAGTATCAGAAATACGCGTAAATGTAATTTGAGCTGATAATAAGAAATATGGTGAAAATAATAATTGATATTACTATTACTTTTATTATTATTATTGTCATAATTATTATCGTCATGGCCCTTATACAGTGAAGCTGATGTGGAGGTGGAGTGTAAGCGGGGGAAAGGGAGTGCAGTGAGTGTAGTGTAGTGGTAGTGTAGTGTAGTGTAGTGGTAGTGAAGTGGTTAATGTAAACTAGAAGTGAATTTAGAGTAGCTAGAATAATTGGAACTATTATATCGACCCCTATTCTAAATAGTACACCTAATGGTAACTGTTAAAATTGTTCTTAATATAATTCTATATTGTTATTCATGTTTGCCACCGAGCATTAGCTCAAAGCGAACTTTAATAAATCTATCTATCTATCTATCTATCTAAAATATAGGTAAAAAGTAAAATTCATTGCTTTCTTCTGAAATCACACATGTGGGTAAAATTCTCGACGAGAAATTCATTGGTGCAAATTAGACCTCAATCCAAGTATTAGTATCGGAAATACGCGTAAATATAATTTGTGCTGTTATTAAGAAATTTGGTGAAAAAATAGGAAAAAAAGTATACTTCATCGCTTTCTTCTGAAACCACACATGTGAGGAAATACTAGACGAGAATTTCATTGATGCAAACTGGCCCTCAATCCGAGTATTAGAATCGGAAATACGTGTAAATTTAATTTGAGCTGGAATTAGGAATTTTGGTGAAAAAATAGAAAAAAGTAAATTTCATCGCTTCCTTCTGAAATTACATATGTGAGTAGAGTTATAGACTAGAAATTCATTTGTACAAACTAGAACTAAATTCGAGTATTACAATCGGAAATATGCGTAAATATAATTTCAGCTGATATTAGGAAAATTTGTGAAAAAATAGGAAATCACATGTGTGAATAGAATTCTAGACGAGAATTACATCGGTGAAAACTAGACCTCAATCCGAGTATTACAATCGTAAATACGCGTCAATTTAATTTGAGCTGATATTAGGAAAATTGGTGAAAATAAATTTCATTCTTTGCTTTTGGAATCACAGTGGTACGTAAGTACCACTGTTGACGAGAAATTCATTAGTGCATACTAGTTTTTAATCCGAGAATTAGTTTCGGAATTACGCGTAAAACAAAATTGAGCTGAAATTAAGAAATTTGTTAAAAAAATTGGAAATACTAGGCACACTTATGAAGATATTTATCCTAGAATCCTAAGTTAATCCATTGTATTTTTATATTAACCAATTTGTGCTTTTAATAACTGATAAATACGCGGTTTTCTCTTGTTCTGCAAGAGTTTTTAAATTATCCAAATATAAGTTTTGAGTAATTTGTGAACCAAGTTTCCTCGTGTCTAGACTCATTTTGGTAACAAACCGTTTTACGAATATTTTGAAGAAAGTGGCATCATAAAAAATAGTATTTATAAAACTAATGTGCATTTTGCGGAAATAATGAGTTAAGAGTTGTAATAAAACGTGTGGAAGAGTCGAAAATCAGTCTCCGGAGTTCGGCGAGTCTTACACCAAATGTTTTCTAACAGACATTCCTCCAAATTCGAACACTTATATCATTCAACCACGCAAACACCTGTGATCCCCTTTCTCGTGTATCATTATCAGACATAATACATCAAGGTCGTTCTAATCGAACAACGAGAAGAAGTCCGAGGCCTTTGGACCGACGGCTTTTTGTCACTTGAGAAATTAGAATCAGTTTACGCCGTGAGACGTACAGGATTTTATTTTTTCCTAATTTTTGATTCATAATTACTTATTTACTAATTAACAAGATGGAAACTTAACTCGGTTTGTCCTTTCATTTCTCTCTCGCATAATTCCCTCGAAAAGGGAACATTCCCTCATAACCATGAACCTTTGGAGATAGGTAAGTTCTTCAGTGTCTGTCGAGCTCCGTATGGAAGAACAAAAGCAATAACGCCTCAGTAAAAAAATGCTAGTTATTTCAGTTCCCAACAAATTCTAAATATTTAATGTTTTGACCCGCTCAGCGGAGAGTAATGGTCGCGTATGACTGCGTTCTGGCGGGATCCGTATACCAGCTCTGTATTCGTCGGCAGGGGGGGGGTCCGGATAAAGGCGAAAAGCTTCGATGTTACCCCGGGGTTAACCCAACTAGTAGAACGAGGAACAGTGTGGCGGGGTAGATCCGCGAGGCATATGCGTGTGCAATATCAAAAATATCGCGTAGGTTCTGAAAACATAGAGTGTATAAAGAATTAACTCACAAGTACAAGCATAGCGCAGTTTTGATGAACCACTTCAAAATTGTCTGCAGATGGTAGATTCGCGGAATTCGCATCATTCAGCCCAAAGCGTCTCTCGTACAAGTCCCTCTTCCTCTGCACGAAGCGGCGGTAGAGCTGGTAGAGACTGACGCCGGACTGCGGGAGCAGGCTGACCCCTGTGCCCAGGGCCCGCGCCGCCTGCGTTGCGTACGCCTCCGCCGCCATCTGCGCGTGCAGCGGGACGTCCAGCAGGCTGCGCTGGCCGCGCCCCGCTGCGCCGTGCAGGGCTGCCACCATCTCGGCGGCGAGGCCCTCGAACGCCGCAGGGGGGCGGTTGCGTGGGTCGGCAGACGACCAGTGTTCGCAGAGGTGGTTCTTCTGCTCCTCTTCGGAGAACGGGCGAAGCGACGATGTGGCGCAATGTAACGCCTTAGTGAGAACAAGCTCAGCCTGAAGTTCAATTAATTATTCAGTACACTGCGTTCTTTTTATATTAATAACCAAAAACAGTCAAAATTTCGAATTCCTTTCACATTATTGGTGTTTTAATGTATATATTGGTGTTGAAGAAATGAACTGTCTGCGGATTCATTTTATGATGGAATTTCACACTAGATTACTTCTGTTTTAGGGAAGAATAAAAAACGACGGAAAATATTTATTTCTTTCGAAATAAAACAGTTATGTATTCAAATTTAAATTTTTTAATGGATATTTGACCATCAGCATTGTGTTAATAGGAAATGCTTGTATTGGTACGTATTATCAAAAATGTATTCTTCCACTTTTATGGAAAACTCTATAAATTTTATTTTAAAGTTGTGTAGAAATATTTCTCTCTTTATTGAAATTTTATTATCACTTGAAATTATAAAAGAAACAAGAATGAAGTAATTTTGGAAAGTTGAAATCATTTCTTACCTCCGGGCGTGATGAGACCCACACGAGCTTCACTTTTGTCTCCAGCAACATCTCCAAGAGTCGGACGAGTTTGTTTGTGTAGGAAGGGCAGATCTCGTCCACCCCGTCTATGAAGACTGCAATGTCCCCCGAGTCGAAAAGCGCAGCCTTGAGGCACCTCTGCGTGGACTCAACCGAACTCGACGAAGTCGCGATGCCCGCCGCCGCAGCCAGCAGCTGCACTAAGTGCTCTTGCGTCAAGTCTGTCACGCAAAGAAGTCGACGTAAGACTCATGGGTTCAACATCACTGATCTGGGACTTTAAGTAATCAAGTAAAGTTTATAATTGTACGAATGTAATAAGGCAACATTATAAACGAGTTGCATATTATATTTGTTTGTATAACAGCATTATACATTTATAAGAGAATCAAACTAAATTTTGCGAAACAACTTCCCTGTGACGACTCGGGTATTTGACAACGTGCGAATAAACGGTAGTCGGCTGTTCCGTTTAGTTCTACCTCCCCCGATTCTCTCGCTGCGATTGACTGAATGTGTGATGACGCAATCATTCGTAACATAAAATATAATACGTCATCATTTGTGCTGTAAAATGCCCGATTATGAACGATTTCTTACAACAGAAAATGTTCTTTTATAATGCTGAAATGCAAACAATTATTATATTAGAACCCTTTTTATGAAGTGTCCTCTTGTTGTAAGAAATGGCAACCCTAAGTGAGTGTGTGTGAGTGATACCTGTCGGTTGCGGGAAGTCCCTGAGGAGGTTGCGGTGGTCCAGCGCCTGCAGCAGCACCGCCCATCGCTGCGCAGCCTCGGCCGCCAGGCGCTGCAGGAAGCGGCTCTTGCCCATCCCGGGCTCCCCCACCAGCAGCCCCACGCGCTGCCTCCACGCGGCCGCGTGCCGCACGGCCTCCGCCGCGTGCATGCACGCGGGCGCACGCCCACACGCGTCGCTCGCCCGCTGCACGAACGGCGCCACGGCCTGCGTCGCCCCTCGCGTGGCCTTCCACACCACCGCCCCCACGCCCACGTTGTGCAGCCAGTGCACGTTGAGGCCCCTCTCCTCCGCGCGGGCGGCGACGCGCAGGAAGGCGGCTTCTTGGGCGCTGCTGCCCCCGGCGCCAGGCAGCACCGTCCACCTGCGCTTCCACCAAACCTTTTCTTCTCCAAACCACCTCTCATCAACTTCTCTCAACAAATGTGAAGTAATTGTTAGATTCTCTGCGCGTTTTCCATAGTTTATGCGTTGTGAAGAGGGAATTCAATTTGGTAGACTCAACTACAAATTCACATCTTTCATCAAAGCTTGCTTCATTATGAAAATTAAGCAGTTTTACTGACGCAATTTAACTTTCCTGAATAAAAAAAACACAAGAAAGGGACGTCCGTCCATGGTGCTCGTCCTGAGCACACAGATGAGCTTAGAAGGTTATTGCGAGCGCTCCAAAGAGCCGTGGAGGCTCACCGCCGATTAGGCGATCCCGCTGACGGGGGCAAGCGTGAGCTCTCAGCCGAGATTTCCGCTCGTCTCTAACGGACCAGAGAAACGATCGGTGGACAAGAGCAATGGAAGAGTGCAACCTCCACGTGCGGCGACTGTGGGGTTTGTACAAAGCGCTGGGCAAACCACCCCTTAAAACGCAGCGCACCATCAGAACAAGTGCCTGGAGATATTCTAGTGCCAGAATAGTCAGAGATGACGTAGAATAAACAGAGCTCTTTGGAGACTCTCTTGAACAACAGTTCCGTCCTGCGGAAAGTAGTGCCGAGTTAACCCTGCGCGTTAACCTGTCCGCTGCGCACGGGGAGAGGTGGCTCAGGGCATCAGCTGATGTCACTCTGAACGGGAGGTCCTTGCGTTTCGAGCCCCGACGGTGGCAGGATTTCTCCCAATCTCCGTTGCTAGGTCGAATTCAGTCGCTGTGTGGAGAAGAATTCTAGCTGCCGGCTGCTCTGATCAGTAGTTTCCCGTGGTTTCTCCGTTCACCTCCAGGCGAATGCCGAAGCAGTATCCTAACAAAGGGGCCTTTCATCTTTCGTGAACGTGACTAAGCACTTTCTTTCTCCAATATATCCTATACCGTATAGTTGAATCTACTAAGTGTAATTGTATGAACTAAACCTTTTTCTCCTTGCCTCTTAATTAAGAAGTTTTCAATTTTCATAAATTACAGATGTATCAAATTTCGATAATTACAAACAAGAAAAAAATCTCCATTATTTTGTAACAATTTCTAAGAAACAGCATTTTTATACTTTCAGTCATTTAGAAGGTTTTGTATTACAATGGAATGAGAACACGAAATTAAATTAGTATTTGAATCTATTAAAAAATTCTTCAATTTCGAACCAACATAAATTAATTTAATTAAACACATAATTATCACAACTGAATATTTTTTGTACATTAAATTTAAACTCACCATTTGTTATTTTCTGTAGCTGCATCGTTCTCTGAAGGTTCTTTTTCTCTACTGTCCTGCACACTTCCTTGTCTTTTGTACGACTCAGGTTTTCCGCTTCGGACATCTTTAGACCTGCGTGAGTTGTACAGCTCCTGAAGAAAAGGCGCTGGAAATCCGCTGAGGGCGAGGTGGTCGCTCCGCGGGTCCAGCCCCTCCAGAACGGCCGGGTCGAGGGTGGCGGGGTGCTCCAGGGTGCGGGGGAGGTCGAGGTGGGCGTCTCCCGGGGCGGGCAGTGCCGCGCCCATCGCTGCCCCCCCGCGCACCAGGGCGCTCAGCAGGGCGCCGTCCACGTCCCCTCGCACGGAGCGCCACGAGGGCTCCAGGGCACGCAAGGGCACCGGGCGACCCTGCATAGACACACACGCGCTCTGTGTTAAAAGTTGAAGTTCCTGTATATACGCTTTTTCCTGTCTCCGTCTCGCCTCCTTTCATGCAATGAAATTGTGTTGACGAACTATGGAAACTTGCGTTTCATATGCGTCTCGTAAATCATGTACTGACCTGGAACTGGAGAGTCCTGTCGAAGATGGCCTCTTGAGCCTCCAGTGTGAGGTGGTCCATCCTCCAGTCCTCCTCATGGATTGTCACATCGCCCCTCAAAGGGCCCGCGCCGTGGCCGGAGGAGACGGCGACCACCTTGACGCTGCTGCCGACGGCGGCGACCAGGACCCGCGCCGCCGCCGCCTCCTCCTCCGCGTCCAGCAGCAGGAGCTGCACGTGGCTGGCGCCGCACGCGGCCTCCAGCGCGGCGCGCGGCAGCTCCCGCAACTGGCGGTCGCCCACGTAGGCCCAGCGGCCGGCGAACGCCTCGTCCAGCACCTGGACGACCTTGGCCGCGCGGAGGCCCGCTGGCACGCCGCGCACCCTCACGGCCACCGCCCCCTGGCCGCCCCCCAGCGCCCTCCTCAGGACCACGCAGTGCTCCGCTTGGAAGCGCAGCGCCCCGCCGCCCGCCGCCGCCCGCCCCTGCTTGGCCAGCTCCTCCGCCACAAGCCACTCCACTTCCCCGGAGCGCTCTGTGAGCGGGGCGCCCCGCGAGTCGACCAGAGCCCACTTCTTGAGGAGAGCCACGTAGTTGGGGAGGAGGGTCTCGGTTTGCGGCAGCGGTGCTCCAAACATTGTGTCGAGTTCGTGTCTAATGAGATCCATTAGATCGTTCACGTGCGCTTGTTCAGAAAATACCCGCAGGCGTGGAAGAAATTCGTGCTGGTAGACGTCTTCCAGCGGATCGTTGTTGTACAGTTTCCACACCTGCGACAGATTATTCTAGTTGTGAGTAAATCTAATCTACCATGAGTTTCACTGTACGTATACAGCAAAATTGTTAGTGGAGAAATTGGCAGACATATTTTGTAAGTAATATAATGCTGAATTCATTATTATTCACAATCAAAGAATTCATAATGAAAGGCACTCTGCACATTTCTCAAGAACAGTAGCGCAAATTTTAGTTTAAAAGTTTATACATTTTATAACTTATTTTTCCTCATGAAACCTTCCAATATGACTCGATTAAATTTAGACACGTTAAAAAAATGTATATAAAGGAGCAAAATGCTCCTGCGTTATTATTTAGGTATATTTGTTCGTTAAATTGATAAAATTGGACTTTAGCAAGCAATAGCGAATAGTAAAGAAGCTACTCTTTAGCGAGAAAGTTATCATTGAGGTTTCCAGATTGTCCTGTTGGCAGGACTGACTGCATTGTGATGACAAAGTGCCGGTAGAATTTTTCTAGTGCAACACTAGGGAAGATCTATTGTTATTTGATAAACATTTTTTTTCAAAACAGTTCATTCTAGATTCCGGGTGAAACATCTCTCCAGAATGTCATCACGTTCTATTCCCTTGATAGAGAAATATTTCTGTGGATTTGTGTCGCTTTATCGGCGAGTAAAAGTAACTAACACATTTCCAAGTACAGAAAAAAATATCTATTTTCTAACAACAATACTGAAAATTAAAAATACTTTTATCAAGAAGTGTTTCACGAATGGTTCCATTAAGAAGGTAGGTACTTTTACCTACATAGTTTCTCAAATCATCTCAGAACGGGGTAGATTGAATACAGAATATGCCGCTTCCTGTCTTAAAAAATCCACTCTACGCCACTGCTCAACAGTCCTTCTCCATTCTCTTAATTTGTTTCTAGATATTCTGTACTGTCGATTTGTATTGCAAATCCTTGGTTGGTCGTGCGGAGTGGCACGCACCTCGTGGTCGCCGTAGCCGAAGGAGAAGACGGTGTTGGGTGAGGCGGAGTCGCCGGTGCGCAGGAGGTCCTCGTGCTGGAAGTGCAGGTGCGGCCCGTCGGTTGCCCCCTTGCGACGAACCACGGGGCGATTCGTATAAATCACCATCCGCACGCCCTCCAAAGAGCAACGGTGCAGCAAATATTCGTCTTTCGTCTTGACGCCGCCAGGAGTCGTGTGCTTGCTCTTGAAGTTGTTGTAAAACTCAAAATATTTTTGTAAGCTGAAGTCGCCCTTTGAGGATGTGAAAGCCTGAGCAGAAGAGAAAATAACAACAACAATAATAATAACAATAATAATAATAATAATAATAATAATAATAACAACAATAATGTTTGTTATGTATAGATTTTTTAACCGGTTGGTCACCGGAGTCCTGAGGGGGGACTTGAGCTTGAAAGTGTTTAGTGACTTTGGTTCAGGGTATTTACATCGTGGTCACCGAAAGAGTTGAACTAGTACCGACTTGCTTAAACTACATGCCAATCACCAGCGGTTTTCATTCAAGAACATTGGTGGTCACTGAAGGAGCTACACCAACTGTGCTCGAGCTAGAGGCATTGTCTCAGAGGATGTACCTGCGTTTTCACCGGAGGGGCTGCGCCTGTCGTGCTGGCGTGCTTGAGCTGGACGAAGACGGTGAGCGGCTGCGGCTTCAGCACGCGCAGCACGAGGTCGTCCAGCGGACGCGCAGCGGCCACATTGGAGAACAGTTGAAACGAGAGGCCCCTGCTGCGCGCGCGCAGCGCCCACAGGCCGCCGAGGAAGATCTCGTATTCTGCTCCGAAGGTCGTCGCTGCGCCCTTCAGTCGCCCCAAGACGGGAGACTCGGCACTGAAACAATTGCCGCTGCACAACCTTCGCACTGAAACTTTCATCTGCGTTGCCATCTTTTTCTTCGTATTTTAAAAGAATATCCAGTTGTTTAAACGTTAAACCTGAAATTTTATTTTTAAAATAAAAATACATATGAATCGTTAAAACCAGATCGGCATAAGTGACATTTTATAAATTCTGATGAATCTGTTTAATAGCAGCAGTAATACTGAATGTTTACGATGAGGCTTGGAGTGGTCGGCCTTCTGTTGTCACCGATGATTTGGTAAGGAAAGTTAAAGAAGTTCATAAGAACAGGTGCTACACATTGACAACGCTGTCAGAGGAATTTCCACAAACTTTCACGTACTTTTTTGTTTAAAAACTGTTACTGATCGCTTGCGTTATAGCAAACTCTGTTCCCGATAAGTTCGTAAAACGAAGCGATTTGGTAGTATTTTGACTATCGTCTTAGATATTGCCTTGTGACGAAATATATTTTCAACAAACGCTGTATTGTCTTTAACTACAACACTCGACGACAATCACATTCATCAGGTAACAGTATCAACAGCTCACTACAAAAAATTCACATATAATACATGTACATTATTTTACAAAACCTTGCCAGATGACATTAAACTATTAAATTTGACACAAAAATTTAAGTCCTAAGTAAAATCTTTTCTCCTGCACAACTGTTTCTGTACAATTAGAGAATATACTGAGCATCCAAAAGGAAAGTAATATTAATTTTTAAAATGACATTTAATGTATTACATATCATTTGGATTGTATAATTGTAAAGTACTGCGCTTCAGCTTCTGAGTCAATGACCCCCATCTCGATCATGTTTTCGTCCAGTTTCCCTGATCCTCCAGCAAATGCTGAGATGGCCCCTTGTTTTGCTTCTGGACATAAATGCAACTTCAAATTAACTTATCCCCATAGCACGTCATAAACAGTTTTTAACGTCAATAAATAAATAAAATTAAGTAAAGTAAAATATGTGAAGACTTCGTTTACAGAACCTGGGGCCCTAATTTCATGTCCTAGCCCTTCCAAATGCTCTTCCTGTTTGGAAATAATTTTCCGAGTTCACGTAGCACTACATTAATTGGCAGTTATGATTTAAACGAGAACATATGTGTTACTATAGCACCACTAATTATCGATATGAAATTCCTACGAGGATCATTGCAAGAAACTTCAAGCCAAATTCAGTACATGGACTAATTTTAAATTATCTAGTGTCTTTAAATAATGTTTTAAAAATATTTTTTCCTCACCTGGAATATGATGTTCTCGCCATTTTATCTGAAAAACAAACATAATGTTTATTTTAAGCGTTATAACTATTTTCTACTTTAGAATTATTAAAGAAATACCGTTCACATTTCGAATGTTAAAATCGAAGGATAGACGAAGGTTACGACCAATCTGAGCATTGATTCTGTTTGCTGATCAATTCCTTTTGTATTATAACGTTATAAGAAATATTCATGTTGATACATTACTGGGCTGCCAACATTAACAAATTTTCCCTTTTTTCTCTGCCATCCTGTAGGTAAAATATACCTTTGCATTGATTGAAATAACTCATACATGTTTCTCCACAACTCGTTTATTTATTCAATTTCTTTCGTAGATTACTTGAATCCCTAACTGCCACTGGCTGGGAAGGGAGCGGTGAAAATATTACGTTAGGTGACAAGGGCGTTATTTGTATCTTAAAGCGTATGTGTCATAGATTATATTTTGCGGCATTTTGCACGATTGAATTTTATTTGACATTTGCTGCCCAGGTAATTTTCAACACGAATAGTTGCGTCATCCAGTACTTGGTTTGTCCAGTGTATGATTTCGTCGCCAGCGAAGAGGGCGGGAAAGATGTTTGGAGTGGTCATTGCGTCATACGTGAAGATATTACAGAGCAACAATGGCCTTGGTGTACACCTGCAAGAATAGGAGAAGAGACAGTAAGCACACGGAGAATAACCTATTTGTGAGGACGATTTTAATAAGGAGAATGAGATACTGTGGAATTCCGAGTTTTTGGAGTTTGAGTAATAAGCGAGGATGCCGAACTGAATCGAAGGCTTATTTGACAGAAAAAAGTTAATCTGGGGTTCATCAGCCAAATAACACTTCTAAAGACTTAAAATCGTTTTCTCAGGACCATTACCAAAGCACCCTGGTTCATACCTAATGATCTTCAGCAGAACTGGTTTATAATTTATTTTCACTTCTTGCATTTACAAGCGGGGGAGTATTGGCGAACGCGTTACATAACAACGTTTTTAGACGCGCGTTACGGGTGCATTAGAAGGGGCAGAGGGAAGTATTGAAAGTACTCTAAATTTGCGTCACGTATTTTATGGACGGACCCCAAGGCAACAGCCTTCGCTTGTTCTTGAGATTGCGTGAATGTTCCTTTTAACTCTACCGGAAACAGAGATTATACTACACCGGGAATGCCTGACAATGCGCAAGATTGTTACAAGACCAGAGCGTATGCCTTTCCTTTTGTATAAGAGGCTGCGTGAACATACCTGTCGTGTCGTCTTCTAAGCGAAAGCTGCGGGTCTCAGTACTGCGTGATGAAGGTTCGCCCAGCACCTCCAATATCTTTTTCTAGTCCGAATCTTCGCTTTGAATCGAAATGATATTACGCCCTGCCGTAGTGTGTTTTCCTTTGATGAACATGCAACTTTGCAGAAGCTTCTGACGATTACAGGAAGTGACAAATCAGCTAATCGTATAAAAAAGGAAGTGGCTAGACGATAAAATATGTTTTCCGACGACAACGAAGCTGCAGCTATACGATTTTATATTAACAAATATTAGTAACGGTGGTATATATTACAAGAATCTAATCGTTAATCTCCTTTCAACCTAATCTACAATGATTATATTTGATTTTCGGTATTCTTTTCAAGATATGATTAATATATTAATATAATCTTTACTTAAGGTCACCAGACATCCCGTTTTCAGTGGGACAGTTCTGTTTTGAAGTAAGATGTCTCGCTCTCATTTTAATTATTGTGAGATCGTTTGAAAATTCTACTATTAGAATTTGAATGTATACCCTGCTTTAGTGACCGACCACGTTAATCATATGCTACGGCAGTAATTAGCATTTGATGTGGTATTATAGTGGGCCGTGTAATTGCACCACGTATACATATGAAGGGCTGTAAGGAATAACATGATAACAGAAAATAGTTCTCGTTATGTGGCACATATTTCGAGAAAATGTCAAGTGTGGTAACCAACGATATTGCTAATAACGTTACTAAAGAGCTAGTTAGTTCATTGAAAATTCAACAGATGGCAGAGCAATCCACATTTTGCTGTCCCTCGTCCAATTTGAAGCAAACAACGTGTTTAAAATTATGACTAGGGGAACTACATCATATTAACAAATGCACTTTCGTACAATTGAGCGAACATTTAAAGAAATTGCAGTCATTGTGTAAAAACTGCGTTGCAAAATGTAGAAACTTGAAAATGTCACAGGGATTTCATGTAAAATACTCCTCAAAATTAAAATATCTTAATGATCAATGGATGCAAGGTAGCAAGTTTTGACCTATAAATTTACTCAATATATAATATTAAATAATATAATTATACATAAACGTCTAACCATGTCGGGGTGTCACGTGAAAATGTAGTGAGAAATTCCATATAACGTGTGAATGTTCCGTATGTAACATTTGCCCCTATTTGGTGGCAACTCGGCGTACTTTGGTAAGTGTTGACAGGGTCATGAAATCTTTTTGACTGCGTCAGAACCAGGGTCCAGGATATAAAGGAGGCCTTAGTCAAAACATTTTTAATATCAATAATAAATTAAGTTTTCAAAATGTTCTATGATGAAATTCGAGTGCATGGCGAATCATTCTTGTTTTCTTAGTTGCAGCAATACATCACCAGAGCGTGCCACGATTCTTGATCCCTCAAATTGCTATTAGGTGCGAGAGGAGTGGAGCAGGTTTGTTTATTTGGTTATTTTAACGATCGGTCTATTATATTGAATCTGTAACAATTTTTTGATTCAAAATTGTTTCTTTTACAGGAAAGCGAACACATTTGTTTACCTGATTTTGTTAATAACTCTCGTTACCATCCATTATTCTGAATTCAACTACTGTTGGTAGAGGAGTGGGGGTAGGTAAACTGGGGCTCCAGAAAACGGGCGCGTAAAATGAAGCAGCAGTTGGCGACCGTCTCTTCTGTTTTGGTATGTATTTGTGAAAAGTAAAAATCTAAGAAAAATGTCGTAGAACTTTTTTTTGTGCAGTGAGTTTTGAACTGTCATTATACTCAAGTATAAGTCTGATAATTATGAAGTGAAGGCAGTAATTTTTTTAATTCTGTTCAAATTGTTCTTTATTCAATTGTTTTTTGAGTATTCTCGATTTGGTAGTTGCGCCAAGTATTCTGTGGTATATTTTATTTTACTAGGCTTTACTGGTTAGTCATTAAGAAATAATAAATACATGACATGTTTGAGTTATGTATTTCTAAAATAAATAATGTATTTGAGTATAAGTATATAGAATTTCAAAATAAGTATTGTATTTCACTGTTTAATTCTACTGTATAAAAATGACATGGGGAAAGTAGTTTGAAATTAAATATGAAATATGTGTTCTTCAGTGAGAGGTGGCTACTGTTAATTGTTTAATTTTTGTTTTATAATAGTTTGTTCTTTTCTTTCTCTCTAGGCTTCAGGTTAAAACAGCCAGAATACCATATAAGGGATGTGTCTAGAATAGCATATTGAGTTATTGTTTTTAATACTACATTCAACTAATTTGTTTGTCTGTATTGTACAGCTTTTCTAAAGCAGCCTTTCAGAAATGTAGGTTTCTGTATCTCCCTTTAAAAATAACTTATTGGATTTCTCAGTTGGGCAGAGGAAACATAAAGAATTTGGTGTCTACTACAGCATGGTTCTCCCCTCCCCATGAGTTGTATTTCCCGTACTGGAGATGTATTCTCCTCGAAATTCTTCTTAATACTCCTCAAAATTAATCCATTT